TTGAATCTTTGCTTCAGAAAATTAACTATTATTATTATCATTATTATTATTATTATCATCATCATCATCATCATTATTATTATTATTATTATTATTATTATTATTATTATGGTCACTAGAGGAGACCGAGAGACAACAACACAAAGAAGACAACATGATAGAAATACATTTACAAAACGGAGAAAGGAAGAATGACAACAAAATACCATTAATATCGAAGGATAGTCATTGACACGTACCTTTTATAGAAACTAGACAATTTGAAACGGAACTTTCGAAGAGAAAGAAGATTTAGCCGAAGTTTCCATTATTTTTATCGATTCTGTCCCCCACTGTAGACATGCTGTGACGTCATAGCGTTATAGGACAATTAGTGCAAAGTTTTGTAGTTTTGTAGTTCACAGATATATGGTACACAGTCCAACAAAAGTGGCTGCAACATTAGCGCACGTCTTTATCTCCAATTCATTTTTCAACACCTTGAGATATTGCTTATTGAGAAGAGCAATTACTTGGCTTTATTATCTACTATTTTGTTGTCATTTTTAATTGCAGTTTCATATCAAGCTCTACTCTATAGAGCGTTTTCACGTGACGTCACAGGGGCCATTATGATGCAAAGATGAGAATATGTGGACCGCGTAGCACTTATGAAATATAAGTCATAGAAATATAGATAAGTTATAGTGCTTGGGAACGAGGTTATTCCGGGCGAAAGACCCTTGGAAATAAATTTTAGTACCCCATAATAGCGGCCATTATGGGGTACCAAAACAAGACATTTTGTATCCTCCGGGAATTGAACTCTATTTTTATGCAAATACTGTGCAGAAAGTTTCTATTGTTTATGGCTGCCTTCTGACGTGAGTGAAAACACTCTCTATGTTAGTATCGAAGTTGGAGTAGAGAAAGCTCACTCCATATGTGGTATGATCAATTCCACAATTGGATTGTGCGGAAAAGCGGCAAACAAAAAGGTCGTTTTATCACGAATTCGACATGAACATTTTTGAAGAAGAAAAGAAAAGAAAAAAGAAAAAAAGACAAATAAAAARAGAAGAACTTTGGAAAATCGAGGAAGGATACGGGGACGATGCTAACTCGTGGGTCTGCCTCACAGACAACAGACACAGGGAAATACGACACTCAATGTTTGATATGTTAGGCGGCAAAATTATAATCAAAGCTTTTTAAAAGAATGACGCAATTAAAGATGTAACAGGATCTCATTTGGCTCTTGATTTTGAATATTTTCTCGCCCCGCCCTACAGTAGTTTCCTTAGCAACGTCATTAGTTTCGGTCCCAGATCCTCCCGGGGATTTAATGAYAGCTGCGAAGAAGGAGACTAGCCCTCCAGGGGAAGATCTAAGAATTGCTATTGTAATTAAAGAAACCATTTCAGTAAGAGAACAAGACAGATGGGATGATACATGCTATTATCGTTTTTTAAACAAAAGATGTATATATACTTTAAATCATCAAAGAAGTAGATAATTTCAGAATAAATGATCATCAGACGTCTTTAGATTAATCAGATAACTGATGATTTTTGCTTTCAATACTATAGGAAGAAAGTGGAATTTGTGGGAATTGAATACGACTGAAGCGTCTCTATTATGTTACAGCGTTAACACAAAGGTTCTATAAAGACCAAATATCCCTAATTAAATAAGCTCGGTTTTCCAAAACTAAAAATACATGTTTGTATTAATATCTTGYATAGGTGTCGTTATCATCATCTTTGTATCCTCTTTCACGTTCAACCTTTACTTCGTTGCTTCGAGATACTGTAACACTCGCCTTTTTCATACTCGATCCWATTAAAGCCCAATTACTATTGTTTTCAAACTGCAGTCGCTAACTGTTTATCTCAGCTGGCAAAAGAAAGTAAAGAGCCRACATACAAATAACAAAACAAAGTGTCCTCTCTGACGAGGTCTTACAACCTTYGCTCAATTCGCAATTCAAACGTTTTTAAAAATAGATTATCCCGAATATTTGAAATAGTGAAAATTATAGAATCATTTTGCTACTTAGGTGTTTTCTTTGCTTCTCTATTGTTAAATCTCTCGTCAACGAACTACCTAAGACTTCTGCCTGTATCAAGAACAAATCTAGGATCATAGATAGCAAATTAACAACTTGCTCTACCGACAGAAAGCACAAAAAAATATTTGCTTATCGTTTACAGGAGCAATTTGTTGCGAGGTGCATGAGGTGACCATGACGATATAGTTCTTTAATTGGTGCTTATTCTTTGRGATTCCAAACAAAAAACTCAGGAAAAAGTAGTTTTGAGGAAAAACGAAAAGCGAAATAAGTAGAAAAACTGAAATACTATGAAGTATCGGTTCCGGCAGCTTTTGCTTTAACTATGAATGCATCCGACATTGTAGGTCTTTATTATTATTATCTGATATAACTAATAAAACTATAAAGCATTCCATTTGCTTGACAAGTTCTGCCATCCTAGGGATATTAAATATATCAAAATAACTTTTCTCCTCCGTGAAAGACCTTTGAACTTCCAGTTTCCTAGCTCAAGTTTAGCATGACAAACGAACGCAGAGCTTCCTGCTGGTCGTGTCCTTTTCTTTCATTGGAAACAAATTGCAATCAAGCCTTAATCAACTATCGCTAATCCCCGGGCAAGTTATTTGAAATTGTTTTTGATAAATGACGTCATCGGCCGAGTGTGACATTTCACTTCTCACTGAGTTTATGCGCAATAACCCGGGTATCTTGAAGCGTCACGATCCATCTTCCTTGCTAGCAAAGCAGGGAATCATATAACGGCTTGCACCTGATGCCTCCTCTGTCTGTCCGTCTGTGTGTTTTTCTTTAGATTATCTCACTGTTTGTCCCTTGTTTTAGCGCATGTTCTGAATACAGACCAAACTCTTCTTTGATTATCATATATTGTCTCGACAGTTCATGTCAAAATGAATACGGTCGTCTATGTTATACTAACTTGCTTTGTTTATAACAGGACRTATATGTACAACACTATGTCTTATTCATCTACAATGTGTGTTTTTGTGCAGGTTCTAACTTGTATCRTATGGGAATATCGGTATGATTCTTCTCTCTTTCCACAAAAATTTATTTCTTGTTCTTTCTTAAAACTGGTGTATTTCACTTGCGTTATACTTTAAAGCCGTTGGGAAAATCGTATTGTACATAAGTGTGTTTTTGTCTTATTTCTAAGACCAGTTTTCCTATTCTTTATATCTTTATCAATACGATTTTTTCATTCGACGTGGAAGTAATCAGAACGTAAACTGTTGCCATGTACTGAAAGAAAATGTATTTGTCATAAGTGTTTATGCAACATTAAAAGATAATATCTTTTTTTTTTTTCAAAGAAAAGTATAGTCTGTATTTTAGAAAAAAGAGCCCTTAAGACTGCAACACTCTAATTGACGGGTTTGGTCCCAGGCAGGAAATTGTTCGATGGTGTTTTCCTTTCCCCAAAAAAAATTATTTTTTAAGAAGCAACAGAGTTTCAAGTGTCTTTTAATTGACCATTTTCATATTTTCCGGACTAGTTAAGAGCATGGCTTGACATTAATAATATTCTTTTGAATCGTAAATGTAGTCCGGAACTAGCACCTACCTACTTATATTAGAGGAACATCACGAACTGAACTCTATCAGAAAATATTCCTTTTAYTTTTACACTCGATATCGGCTTAGAATCTTATTGGCAGCTTAAGGTTTCCGTTGTCAAGAGCTGATTCAGATAAAGATTGGTGCTTATCAGCTCAGCGTGGTAGCGTCTCAACACGAGAGTCTCAAAACCCGTCACCTATGTCAAACCTTTGCATTTTTCTATATATTATATATATGTATATGTCAATAACCTTTCTATTAGAAAATCTACATTTAAGCTCATTGGATTTTAGGAAAACGATACCTTCCTGATAACTATTGAAATAACTTTTAGCCAAAACATTCTGGCTTTTACAAAACAGGGAATATAGAAATAATTTTTAGCCTTTTTACCAAGCTAGAAGTAGTACAAAAGAACGAAAAATGTGGTGGGAGAAATGAGTTGTGTTAAAACTATAATATTTTGAACAAAATTGACTAATTTCGATTTCAAGGCGAAATTAAAGTTAAACTAGCTATTGTACTTGTCAGTAGATAAATATCATTTTGCTGCAGGGTGAGAGCTTCCGATCGCTTGGCCCTGACCGTCTGTTTAAGGTCACACCACAATGAAAGGCTTTGAATAGAGTCTTGAGACACTAGCGCTAAGTACCATTTGAATTGTCAAAAGCTGTTTATTTTTACAATTATTGTCACTTGAAAAAATCTTAAGTAAAGATTGACAAAGTGTTACATCGTGAATGTTCGAAAAAAAGAAGAATAAATCATTGTTTTTCTCTTGACGTTGTCAGAAATCAAGAGATTCAGTGTGAATTTGCTTCCAAAGGTACTAAATGTTAAGCATTTATCACTAACATTACTGAACTTTTTGATCAGACACACAAAAAAGTATATCTCCCATCACTATTTCGCTACACTATCAAAAACTTCGCAATTTGCATTCAAAAATGAAAAGAGTATTTAAGGAATAATTAAAGGAACATGCAATCCGTTAAATTAATTTAAAACCCCTTTAGACAAAAAGATACAAAGTTGAATTATAACATTGAATTTAAACAGCTGTATAGCACGATGAGTATAAACCACGAAAAGCACACACATTTTATTTTCACGAGTATCTTAGCTTTTTTAACGAGTAAAAAATAATTTCAGAACTGGAGTTGGCTAGCTCGTTTTTCTTTGATTTGACATTGAACTGGTATTCATCTAATCTGGTGTTCTGTTGATTTTCACTGGTTGTTATTGTCTCGTTACACACTTAAATCACGGTAGGACTCGGCTTAGCTCGAGCCAGTCATTACTATGATATACAACTTTCAAATCAATGATCAAACGACAATATCTAAAGAGAATTCCTACTGAAAAAAAGCAATTAAAGAAATTGAGTTAGTCAAACCTGTAACTGCTTGGCTGGTTCTTGGATGCTCAGGATTCGGGCGGCCATCGTGTCGATATCCCCTTGGTRTGGTCCAAAGAATGTGTTATTTCGTATGTGGCCAGCGCTCCAAACTCGTTCTCCATTGTGGAAAACTTGTACCTTTTCCATTTAAAGTTAACAATATTTTCTTTGGCTCTCAATAAACAATAAGAATTTTTGTACTAATCAAAAAAAAAAAAAACTACGAGAAAAAGATGTCGAAGAGAAAATTGAGTAAGAGTATTTTTTTTGCTTAGCTGATATCGTTCAGGAGTTAGTCCAACTCCAATTTGACCAATTTATTGAATTGGGTGTATTTTGTTTGAACAGAGTGTGTGAGAATCTTGAAGTGATTCAACATCTGTCGTGGTAATTCTACWGAGCCTTTTAAAACACTATTTGGACAAACTTACATTGTTCGGCTGCCACTTTATAAGTAGACATTATTAACACGGGAGGCTTTTAAACACATGGGGCGAACAGCATATGCCAATCCAGGGACTCTTGTTAATATTTTCGACTGCTAATTGGGGGATATAATGCTCCCCCTCCTTTCTGCGTCATCCGTGTCATGACTATTCCTAAGGTATTGAAACAGTCATTGGAGATCATTTCCTGGTGCTAACATATCTATTTTCCCTCTCAAATCTCACACCAGGTTATATTCACTTTATTCATTTGTCTTCCTTTCGTAGACAGTCTCGTTTTTTTTTCTTCTTCTTCTTTTTGTTTCGTTGATAGTAACAAGTTGTTTACTCGTAATCGTTAGTTGATTTTTGCAGGACCAATACAATCATTAGCAGTAAAAAAAGGACAACTTTTGTAAGATCACGAACGTGTTCGTTCTCTAAGTTAGTTCCTACTTTGAATACGGAACGAAGTTCGACCAAACAATATATTTTGAGATGGATTGGACCCTGAGTTTTAAAACAAAAACGTATCGCAGTACGTAACAAGGTCAAAGAATATAAAAATTGAATAAATCAGTTTGCGTAGTAATTCTAACATTTGCTAAACATGTTTCCATTGCCCGTGAGACCCAGCTAGCTCGTAGGTGCTCATTAAGAATTATTTACCCAATTAAAAGARAAAATAACAATATTAATTACAGCTTACCCGGACGATGACTAGCTCGTAATTATCGGCGTAAAATCGAGGAAAGTCCTTTGACACAGTCGTTCGATAGTTTAGCGCTGTGATGAATATAACCAGTTCCTGTACGGATAGATGGTGCTAGCCCGCTAACACAAGCAGTAACATATAATTAATAACAACTTAAACAACAACTTTAAGCGCAATATGAACACGTCTTCCAAATCGATTTATCTTTTTTTTCAGATTGGATGTTGAAAGAATAACGCTTCCTCATTACGTTATATTAAAGTTAATGTATTTCCCCCCACAAGTTCCTGCATGTGAATGCTATGTTCGTCGTCTATATTTGTAGCGTGTGCAGTGTGTGTATGTGATGGTACCCCAGAGGGTCTAATACTCGATTGGATAATCGTTTAGTGATCGCCTGTGTAAGCAGTGGACTTTTCTAACGAGTTCATAATTTCGTATTTGTATTTTATGTGTGTTTTAAGAGTATTCTTTAACATAAATAGTCAAATTGACCGTCTTTACGAAACATTAGCATCAGCTCATGAGTGCTGGAAACAGATTTGGTACAAAAGACTGAACTGACTCGCAATATTCAGAACAGACTRAGCTTGAAAACTAACTCTAACAATAAATCTAAAAAAAGCATTCGTGTTCCAGCATATATAAAGATTGGCAAGACAAGTTTCAAAAGTTCAATGCAAAATTTCAAGCAAAATTTTTTAAATCCTTTTTCCTTCGGTCTTACAGCAGAATTAACTATTAATAAAGAATCAAACCGCAATACAATATCTGTTTAGGAGAAAAAGTATCTATATGAGAAAGCCTCACGAAAACTTGAATTTGATATTGTTGTCGAAACAAAGAAAATGCTAAGATGATGATATTTGAATACAAGTGTAAAGTGCTCATAAATATAAATGATGTCAGGATTCGATTCTTTTGTCGCAAAAGTCTGTAACCAGAATATTGTACTTAGGGTCCTTGACTTAAAATCCTGTTACATCCATGAATTATATAGTCATCGTACAGTAACGATTTCAATCAGTTGAATAAAAACAAGTAGAGGTGGTAGATATTTTTGCCCGTCTGTATAACACCAATAATATCTATTGAGGGCTTTGTTCGCAGTATAACAAGGAAACAGGTTCTGTTTATCTAGTGTTGTTTCAGCAGGTCGGCAAGAGCCAAAGATACAATCTCCAAAAAATTCAATTAAACTGGCCGAGATAGAAAAAAAAAAATGTACAATTTGCTTTTTGAAAATACAGCTTTCTTAGAAGCAAAAATGTTATCAATAAAAGAGTTAGCCGATGAGTTCGAGCCATTTGTTATTTGAGTCATTTTGACTGTGATACCGTAAGCTATAGATTTGTCGTCAACTTCGATCAATAACAGGTACTTTTTTCAAATTTTCGCGATAAATTAGCAACCTTGCTTGGTTTCAACTCTTACTCGACCTGCAAAATAAACCCTTCTGGACATAKATATCAAGATAAGCTACACAAACAACAGATAATATGACGCATACTGGGGAAAAAGAACAAGACTGACTAGGACCAAAAAGATATGAATGCCTGTGCGAAGAGTTACAGCTGATATACAGAAGATCCTATTTCTTCGCAGTTTTTATATCGCCTGCTAAATGGAAGATTAAATTAAATCTTTTCTCATGACATTTTAAAAAGCCATTTGACTGCGAAGAGTCTTTGTAGACATCTGCAGTGGTCAATACAAGGCAGTAAAACACGGTTGTTTTTTTTTACTTATTTTTACTTGGTTCTTCTAGTGAAAAAGGAATGCTGCATCTGGCTTTTAATGTTTAGAGTGTTTGAAGTACCGAAAGGAAGATTACAGTCTAGATGAAAGCAAGCTATACCGCCCTCATCTAAGATCATCCAAATAACATCTTTCCATGGCTTTCAACGAAGAAAGCCATACTCAAGTTAGTGCCGATAAAGTCAAGCGATTTAATTGATCGTTTGGCTTGTTTAAGTACAGGTTGCATTCAGTTTTCCAAAAGTGTTAAGGGTTTAGATAAAAAGGTTGAAGAGATTATGCAGTGCTGTTGTTAGCCGAAGTCCTGCGAAATGGTGAACATGCCATTCAAATATTTTCTTTGTTACTATAATTTCTTTTCATAAATATAACTAGTCGATCCCATTTTATATTTAACCAAAAGAAAGTATTGGGTTTGTAATATCTATTTTCTTTCATTCCCTTTCCGTTGTGATGACATCACAACGGCTTTTGCCAATAAACTGTGGGACATGTAAAAACAAGCACTACAGATGGTCGTCACCAGCATCTTCAGTAGGTCTTTTACGTCCGCCTTATACAGGGTTATAGTGAAGACAGACKGGGCCTACGGTTTTAAGTTATTATCCGACCAGTTTTGAAGGTCTAACCATTTGTGGATGTATTCACAAAGGCAGCACTCTCTCCTCGGTTATTTTAAGACCCTGGGTGTTGGGTCAGCTGGGACTCGAACTACGACTTCCCCTACAACAGACCGACGCTCTTTTGATACCAACTGAGCTATCCGGACTGCGGTTTGTCGGTTAGTTGAATCAACTTCAGACCAAAAGCATTTAAATACACATCGAATATCAAATATCATATATATATTACACGAATAATTATTATATTAAATATTGAAAGAGTTAGGAGTATTTATTTCACTTCTACATCTAAGATTGTTTCTCGTACGCTCGATATTGCGTTTGTACCTTAACTTCATCGCTATATCAGTTGGGAACCCTGCGGCATTTTTGTAGCATCATGGTTTAAGACGTTTCAACATTTGACTGTTTTTGTCCCTTTTTGGTAGGTTAAAATATCCGTTACATTTAGTTATTGGTATTAGGGAGTTAGGGAGCGTGATTTATATCAAGAACGATAACAACACAATCAGATTTTTGTATAATTTGGCAGGTTGGCAAGCTTCAGTCACGCCAGGGTGTCTAACACAATATGGAAGCTAGACAGACAAAATGAATAAATAAGTGAAATAGCAAATATTTAATAGGCTATTTTCAACACAGTTATCCTATTTCGTAAACAATACTATGTTATGAAAAAACGGATTGAAAAATGCACGATCAATGAGTTAGCAGTAGTAGAATTCAGTATAACATATAAAGAGGGGGGGGG